ATGCATGGCTTGCAGCTGGTACACTGGGCCTCACATAAGGGCAACCTGGAAATTGTCCTGTCAGTTGCAATTAGAGGTCTTAATTCAGTACCTTCTTTTGAATGAACTGAGGTGCAGAGGTGGGGTTATGATAATTAGTTGTATTTGAATGAAGTTGGTTTAAATGAGCCTTTTATTTGGGTCAGTTAGAATCCAAGAAGGTGAGTCTCTTTCTCATGTTTCTCTTGTACCAAAGAACATCGCTTGGTGCTGTTGTGGAAGTCTCTCTGTAACCAATCCACAACTGGACTAAGAGTGTGTTTAAGTAACACGTCAATACACAGATTATATAATGGACAGCAAGCACTGTGCACAAATACTATCACAAGAGATAAAATGTAAAACAAAGCCTTAAGAACCCAAGCCACCCATGTTGTTCCCATTTTAGTTAATTCTCTTTCCCATAAAAAAGCAATTTCTACAGCCAGCTAAGGTGACTGACAGCTGTGCTATGACAGCATTTTGATTTCCAATTTTTTTTTTCTTTTCATTAAAACTAAAAGTAGCAGAAGTAAGGCTGCAGTTCTGGGGTTCAGATTGGCAGTGACAGGCAGTGTCTGATTAGCACTGCTAATCTGCCAGTTGGAAAGCATCCCAAATCGAGAGGATCAGAGCTCCTCCAGAAACCTGGCACTGTCCCTGGCTATTTGATGCAGCTTACAGACCCAGTAAGCCTACAAGGCCTTCCTAGAGTTAACTCTGCTGGTCTAGTGTTTCCCTGCTGAGGCTTTTGCTGGCTCTTCACAATATTTCTGTGCAACTCTTCTCCCTCATAGTATGTTTAATCTAGTCTGGTGGTGACTTGCTGTGTACCTTGCATTCTTCTCTTGTTGTGCAGTACTTGTGTTACATTAATAGGTTGTGCGCATCGTGTATCCTTTTCCTGCCCTAGTTCCAATATCTTTCATGAGAGCCTCATTATGGGATCTTGGGACCTTTTGCTCCCCCTGATTTCTTTCTCCTTTTTAAAAAAAAAAATTCTTATCTTTAATTTTTAACTTTCTGCTGACAGTTTCTGTATATACTGCTTGATGCTTTGTTCATCTTTCATCTTTCACAGTATTCACAAGCTTTAATCACATTTGGGCATGGACAAACCTATGCTTAGAGAGGTTTAAAAGGGGATGGGGAGCTGATGCTCCAGACCGTACATCAGCATAAGCAGCGCAAGAACAGTCAGGTGGGCAGGAGCTTGTAGCTATATAAATGTAGCATATTCTCTGCAGCTTTAACCCTGCTTCATCCAGGGTTAAAATTGAGGAGATTAAGCTCATTTGTTCCTACAGGCTAGTGCACACCTAGCAATTAAAATATGACAAGTTGCTGCATACTCCCAAGAACCAGCTCCCCCTCCCCTTTTGAAGCTGGTCCAAGCGTATATTTGTTCCTGCTTGCCAGCCCTCTAG